GCGAGCGGGCGGGGCGGCGGGCCAGAGGTCGGGGGCCCGGGGGCGCCCCGAGAGCTCCGCGCCTCGCCTTTTGGCCCTCCCGCCGCGGCGGGCGCCCGCGGTGACGGCGAGACGCCCGCCTGGCATCGCTCGGACGTGTGCGTTTTTTCCTCGGCGAGGACCGTCGAGGAGCATTTGGCGAAAAAAGCCACGCACGAAAAACCGAACAAAAAGCACAGGGAAGGGAGGTCCGAGCGATGGCCCCGGGGCGCCAGCGAGAGGCCAGCGGGCCCGCCCCGGGGACAGCCCCGCAGAGCGCGCGGTCGCCCCCGCCCCCTCCTCGACGGCGCTCGCTTCAAGTCGGGCCTGTCCCCCTCCAGGGGGGCTTTCGACGAAACATAAAACAGACACCCCAAAAGTACCCCAGAGAGGTCCAACAATATTCAAGAATAGTCCCCAGACTATGTTTGGATTCTGTTTTTTAATTTGGAGGTATTTTTTTTATTTGTCGTCGAAAGTCCCCCTGTAGGGGGGACACGCCCGACTCAACGCTCGCTCCGTCCAGAGGCGAAACAGCTCGCCGACGTCTGCAACCAGATGACGGCCCTGGATCCCGAGAAGCGGGCGAGCGAGCCCGACCCCCGTGCCGCCGAGAGGGGGGGGAGGACCTGCAGCGCGGCAGCCGCGGCCGGGGCAGGGCGAGCGCTGGCGGCGCGGCCCCGCAGGGGCTGCAGCGAGAGAAGGGGGCGAGGAGGTGAAGGAGCAGAGGGGATGGGGCAGGGAGGAGGGGGAGGGAGGACGTGGAGGAGAGAGGGGAGGAGGCGGAGGAGGGGGGGGGAGAGTCTCGGGGCCAGGGGATGGTGGAGCCCCTCGGCGTGACAGAGGAGTTGTTACGCGCTTTCAGCCTTGTCTTCATCATTATCCTTCTATTTCCTCTTGCGCTTTCTCTCTTTCTTGCGCTTTCTCTCTTTGCCTCTCTCTCTCATACACATTATATGCATATCCTCCCTTAAGCATCACAAACCAATCCATTTGGAAAGCGAAGTAACGATAATCGATGTCCTTGCAAGAGGAACCCGCTGGGAATCATTACCACATGATTCGATTGGAAAACCTCATGATCGGAGCCGTTTGGAAAGCACTGCTGAGGGTTTCTATTGGACAGCATCAGAACAGAAATCCTTTGAGAAGCGCCGCGAAGAGATTTCATCGAGAGTCTCACATCAGGAATCCTTTGGAAAGCGCCACAAAGGGATTCGATTGGAAAACCACGTGCTCGGAATTCTGTGCGAAGTATCACACAGGGGCGCCAGTGGATGGCCTCACAACAAGGATCCATGAGAAAGCGCTACAACACACATGATGTTAGACACAATCATATTTGGAATCCTTTCGAAAGCGCTTCAGAGGGACTCTGTTGGAAGCTTTACATTTGGAATCCTGTGGAAAGCCATGTCAAAGATTGTATCGGATGGCTTCACAACAGAAGTCTTTTGAGCAGCACAAAACAAGGTTGTATTGGAGCGCCCGCAAAAGGAATCCTTCAGAAATCACCCCATATGGTTTTTATGGCCGCGCAACACGAATCCGCCCGGAACCACTACAATCCAAAGTTGTTCAGAAAGCATGGTTGAGGGCTTCTACTGGGAAGCATCAGAGAAGAAAACCTGTGGACAACACAAAATATTACAGTCTGCATCGGATCTCTATAGGATCCCATACAGTCTGTATCGGATCTCTACAGGATCGCATACAGTCTGTATCGGATCTCTACAGGATCCCATACAATCTGTATCGGATCTCTACATGATCCCATAAAGTCTGTGTCGGATCTGTATAGGATCCCATACAGTCTGTATCGGATCTCTACAGAATCCCATACAGTCTGTATCGGATCTCGACAGGATCGCATACAGTCTAGATCGGATCTGTATAGGATCTCATACAGTCTGTATCGGATCTCTACAGGATCTCATACAGTCTGTATCGGATCTGTATAGGTTCCCATACAGTCTGTGTCGGATCTGTATAGGATCCCATACAGTCTGTATCGGATCTCTACAGGATCCCATACAGTCTGTGTCGGATATTTATAGGATCCCATACAGTCTGTATCGGATCTCTACAGGATCCCATACAGTCTGTATCGGATCTGTATAGGATCCCATACAGTCTGTATCGGATCTCTACAGGATCCCATACAGTCTGTATCGGATTTCTACAGGATCCCATACAGTCTGTATTGGATCTGTATTGAAGCGGCGGCACGCCGGCACGCATACGTTTTTCACCCATAGGACCACGTCAAGGTCCGTAAGGGAGTCCAAAGGAGTTCCAGTTTTTTTTTGTTGGGGGGGGGGTGGCTGCTGTTGCTGTTGCTGGGGGGGGGTCAGAATGCGCCCACGGGGCTCTGAGCGCAGCCTTCGCAATAAGGCGAGGGCGGGTCAGGACGGCTAGAGCGCACGGGGCTCTCACGCACGCCTTTTCCTTGTTGTTGTTGTAGTTGTTGTAGTAGTTGTTGTCGTTGTTGGTGGTGTTGTTGTTGTTGCTGCTGCTGTTGTTGTTGAACATTATTAATTCTAAAGAATAATTATTGTTGGGCCCCCTGGTGCGCGCCCCCCCTGCGCCGCCTAGGCCGCAGCTACATTTTCATCATTTTCGTGAGGAAGCCTCAGGTAATACGATGTCATCAAGATCCGGTTGTTTTGTTGTAATCCGTTTTCCCTTGCAAAAAACACTATAAAATGACATTTCTTGTTCTAATATAATCAAATTTCAAGAATCCCTTGCAAAAAATAAGGTAAAGTGGACATTCGCGCGCGCAAGACGAAATCCTTCCAAAAGCTTAGTGTTCGGAGCGATTTTAACATAAAAACATCAAAAAACCAATGGTTTTTCAACAAAAAAATGTCAAAATCTCATCCCGCGCGCTCTTGCGGATTCGTAGGAAAACCAACACTTTTTAAACATTTCTGTCAAACGGGCTTTTGCGAGCAACTTTTTCGAACTTCTGCGACAACGGTTGCGCACCTGCCAGGGCCATCATCCCTGTCAAATAATACCATGCGGGACACATTCGTTTTTTGCGCGCGCACGCCGAAATCTCCAAAAACCATTGGGTCCTCGAAAAACACCTGCACGTCTTCCCTTGCGAGTACGTATCATGTGTATCATGTGTATCATGTACCATATGCATCATATGCAACAGATGTTCTGTGGAAGGCTTAACAACTTCTGTGGGTTAACAAGGCTTAACAACTTCTGTGGGTGTACGAACGTAGGCTTAACAACTTCTGTGGGTGTGTACTCCACGCCAGTGTAGTAGCCACGGTCGTCCGCAGGCCACGAAGTGAAGTGTCCGAACGTCATAGGGCGGGAAGCTGGGTGTGGGTGGTGGCGAAGAGTCGTGTGGATATTTGGTAGAGCTTGCACTGCCCCCCCACAAAGTGGGGGTATTGGCTGGCGTCGCATGAAAACCCTGGCACTGGTGAGAACACTGAGCGTTCGGGTAAAGTGATTGTTGTTGTTGTTGTTGTTGTTGTTGTTGTTGTTGTTGTTGTTGTGTTGTTGTCGTCCCACCCGCGACCCAGCCCGCGACCCACCCGCGACACGGCCGCGACGCGCCCGCGACCCGCCCATAACCCACCCGCAGGCGACCCACCCACAGGCGACCCACCCGCGACCCACCCGCGACCCACCCGCGACCCACCCGCGACCCACCTGCGACCCACCCGCGACCCACCCGCGACCCACCCGCGACCCACCCGCGACCCACCCGCGACCCACCCGCGACCCACCTGCGACCCACCCGCGACCCACCCGCGACCCACCCGCGACCCACCCGCAACCCATCCGCGACCCACCCGCGACCCACCGCGCGCCCGCCCCCTCACTCTTCTCCAGAGGCTGGGGGGTGAGATCGCAGTGGAACGGAGAGCCCCCCCACCGGGAAGTCGGTTTCGGTGTCGTGCTCGTGTCGCACGTGCGGGCGAGGCGAAGCTGCATGGGCGGGCGGTAGAAATGACCCCGCCGTCGCTAGGGCGATGCGGATGCAGTGGACCGCCCCTCCGCCCCCGGTGTGCGCGCGGTGGCCAGGGTGTCCCGCCGTGGTGTCCTGTTCTGTGCCGTTGGCGTCCCGTTGGTGTCCCGTCGGTGTTCCGTCGGCGGTGGGCGGGCGGTGATGGGGTGTCCCGCCTTGGTATCGATAGTGAAGTCGTTAGTGAGATAGATAGCAAGATCTCTAGAATGGGATGGATAAGTGAGATCGACAGCGAGGTTGACTGTGACAGTGGTTGTGCTCGCGCTGTCGGATGCGCAGGGGGGCGACGTCCCCTGGGTCGTGCAGATCTCGCGGGGACAGGCGATCTCCCCTGGGGCGAGCACAATGGGATCGATCGCTGAGTCCATTGGTACTAAAGACTGGCCGTCAGGTCGATAGTGGGATCGATCGAGTGAGATCGAAAGTGGGGACGATAGTGGCATTACATCGCAGCTTAACTTCGTTATCACGCGTCGTGGCTAACTCGCGGGCGCGTCACCAGCATCGTCATCATCATCATCATCATCATCATCATCATCATCATCAGCAGCAGCATCATCATTATTAGCATCATCATCATCATCATCATCAGCATCAGCATCAGCATCATCATCATCAAACCCATCGCCTTTGCTAGCAGTTGGTTCTTCCCCCCACACCCCCCAGCCTCTTTATCACCCGAAGGGTGGTCGTATTGGTACATCACCACCGTGTCTGACCAGGGCCACCCTGGCATAGTTTACACGCCCTCTTGGCAGAGACCAGAAGGGTCGATACACCATCCCAGGGCCCAGGATGACCTGCATTGATGCCTCCTGCGGATCTCGTTTCCTTCACCCTCACCCTCCCGTCCTCAAAAGTCGACCCCCGAACCTCTCCAGGGGTGCGCTTCGACCAGAATCTCGGGGCGGACCCAGCTTTGGCGACGAGAGGCGCCCTGGAGGTCTGAACAGGGCAATCACTTCAAAAGGCCTCGATTCTCGCACCTCCCTCTCCCTTCCTTCCCCTTCCTTGGCTCACCCGCCATCCCCTCTGGCGCCGCCGGCGGACATGCCAGCGCCTCCATGGCGGCCCTGGCCGGGGCGATTCGCTCCGGCCTCTCCCCGGCACCCGCGCTGCCGCAGGGGACCGCCGCCGCCGCCGCGACCGCCGCCTCCGCGAAGACTGCCACCGCTGGCCTACCCACGTCGCCGTGCCATCCGAGCCCCCGGACCTCCGGCGTCGTGATTTTTCAATGCGGGCGGTTCGATCTCGGCCCCTGGGGTCCCCTGTGGCGCCATGGGGCCCTTGGGAGACGGATCTGCGACGAGGAGTTGTCTCCCGGGGGGGGGGGGAATTGTCGAGACCTCTGCAGGCTCGCGGGATGAGAAATCAGTTCAGAAATTTAAAGGGGGCTCGCAAAAGGCAGCGGCTGCTCGTGGCGACGAGTCTACACAAGAGCAATGACTGGCAGCTCCCAGAGAAAAGGCGAGCATATACAACGAGCCGTGGCCTCCAACAGCAATCCCCGGAGGAGAGGGAGGAGGAGGCGGAGGGTGAGGAGGAACGGGAAGGAGGAGGAGGATGAGGAGGAAGAAGAGGATCAGGATACGCTCCAGATTCCTGAAGCCTTTTCTGGAATGGCCGCGAATATTCGTATAACGACCATTCCAGCTGCTCATGTCGGCGTGCCTCGAGGTGGCCAATACGAAAAATGAAAGTCCGATGCGACGTTGCAGTTCGGGGCGTCCACATACAGTGCTCGACGGCGGCCGACAAGCGAACAGTGCCGTCAGCCCTGTCCACGAGCCAGCATTGCAGCCGCACCGCAGGTCACGAGAAGTCAGAGGAAGAGGGGGGGGCGAGGCAGACGGAGAGGGCAGAGGCGGGAGACGCGCCTAAACACGGCACGCACAGCGAGGAGGAGGGACAGGGAAAGAGAGAAAGAGAAAGAGAGAGAGGGAGGCGCCAAGACAGGAGCGTGGTCGTGGGGTGGGAGCCACCAGACCCCGCCGCTTGGCTCGCGCGCACCCAGACGCTGCGGATTTGAGCGGGAGGGGAGAGAGGTCGAGGAGGGAGAAAAGGGAAGGGAACGGGATGAGAGAGTGAGACAAAGTGAGGGAGAAGGAGAGAGAGGGAGAGAGAGAGAGAGAGAGAGAAACAATATTCCTTCTACCTATGAAATTACAAGGGAAAACCCCACAGGTCACCGCCCCCCCCCACCCACATACCCCCCCGATATGCGCCCCACGCCCTTCCATTGGTTTGGTGATCCCAGGAGCCCCTCCCGCAGCCTCCTCCGAACCTTTCCTGGGCCTCCACCCCCCCCAAGACGCCGACGATTGCCCCAAGGCGGCCCAAGAATCCGCAAAAGCAGCCCTAGAGCCTGCTAGGACGCCTGCCGGGAGGAGCCAAAGTGACTAAAACCAATGGTTTTTTTCTAGGTTTCGATCCTTTCTCGACTTTCTGGGCTCCCCAGTTTTCGCACGCTCCGACACGGCCCAAAAGAATTGCAGAACCGCCACAACGCAGTCCCAGACACGGTCCACGACAGCCACAAAGATGCTCCCCTGATGGACCACGAACTCCCATGGTACCCCTTCCGCAGCCTCCTCCTAACCTTTCCTGGGCCTCCACCCTCCCCAAGACGCCCGCGATGGCTCCACGGCGGCCCTTGAAATCGCAAAAAACAGCCCTCTACCATCCTAGGACGCCAGGGCGCCTCCCGGGAGAAGCCAAAGTTGTCAAAAACTATTGTTCTTTCTCCACGGGTGTTTGTAGTTTCTCACCTTGCTGGCCTCAGTTGTCATGCGCTCCGAGACGCCCCAGTAGCCTTGCAAACCCGCCCCAACACAGCCCAAGAGATTCCTAGCACGGCCTGCGCGAGCCCCAAGACTTTCCACGACCACCCCATGCTCGCCCCAAGATGGCCCAAGACGTTCCCATGACGGTCCAGAGGGGCGCCAGGATACCCGAAAAGATACCCCAGAGGCCCCAAGCATACCCCGACACGGCCTTTGCAACCACTCGACCGATCGCGACAAGCCTCCCAGGCTTCTGTCTACAAGCTTGCGACACATCCCAGGACGCACGCACCAGCTGGGAGAGGAGGACGAGGAGAACGACGACGACGCCGACGAGGTTGAGGAGGACGCGGACGAGGACGACGGGGAGGAGGCACAGAACGCCCGGGAACTAAAATTTGACGCCCGCTTTCCTCGAACATGTCTTCTCCAATGTGTCAGAATGTCGCTGGTTAGGCCGCCCCCTGCGCCGGCTCCTGTTCGCCCGGCGCGAGCTCCACGGGACATCCAAAGAAAACGACATGAGTAGAACGAGAGGAAGAGGAGGAGGAGGAGGAGGAGGAGGAGGAGGAGGAGGAAGAGGACGAGGAGGAAGAGGAGGAGGAGGAGGACGAGGAGGAAGAGGAGGAGGAGGAGGAGGCGGAGGAGGAGGAGGAGGAAGAGGAAGAGGAAGAAGAGGAGTCGGAGGAACATTCCAATTCCGCATTCTCGCAGCCAGGACACAGACACACTACCACAGCCCTGACAACAACCACCTGGGATCTTATTGCCGGCCCGCCCCCAGGTCCGTGCACACAAAGAGCCGCGTGGGCCCCGCCTGGACCCCGCAATACACTTATACGTGGCACTTCTAGCAGCATCGCAGCTCAGTGTGGATATTCGACGCAACGCCCAAGCGCCTGCCAGGTACAAGAGCCAAGATAAGAAGGCGAAGCGCAGCGAGCCTTAAAATATTGCTTATATGTATACATATACATAAACATATAAACATATATGTGTATATATATATATATATATATATATATATATATATGTATCGGAGGTTGGGGGGTGAGATCGAAGTGGAACGGAGAGCCCCCCTACCGGGAAATCGATTTCGGTTTCGTGTTCGTGCGTGCCGTGCGGGCGAGGCGAAGCTGCGTGGGCGGGCGAGAGGAAAGTCTCCTGTGGCTGAGGCGCGGCCGGACCAAATGATTCTCCGCCGGGAGGCCGGTGGCGCGCGGTGTCCCGCCGGTGTCCCGCCGGTGTCCCGTCGGTGTCCCGATGATGATGTTGATGATGATTATGATGATGATGATGATGATGATGATGATGATGGCAGCCGTTGAGCAATATTTTGAAGCGATTTAGTCAGTGGCGACAAGAGGGGCTTCAGCAGGCCTCCGACAAAAAAATCTCCACTGGCATCGCCAGGAGAACAATCACCACTGTTGCCCATTGCTCGGCCCCTCCACCCCCCCAACCTCCATATCACCCGTAGGGTGGTCGTATAGGTGTGTGTATATATATCTATATATATATATATATATATATATATATATATATATATCCGGGCGAAGGAACCAACCACATGCAGTCGTGGGCACCGCAGTTGCGAATATATTTTTCTGTGAAGCTCCCTATGGGGCCACGAACCGCTGCACTGTGTGGGGGGAGCGCATGCGGGCGATAGCACTGGGGCCGTCGGTGGAGCTCCCTATGGGGCCACGAAACGTTGTACTGGGTGGGTGAAAATGCCAATTTGGGTGTGTGTGTGTGTGGGACGCATGCGGACCGGACGGTCCCATTGGGGGTTTCGGTGGAGCTCCCCTATGGAGCGACGAGACGCTGCATTGGGTGAGTGAAAATTCAAAATTCGGTTTCCGACACGCGCGCGGACGGTCCCACTGGGGCCTTCGGTCCTTATGGGGCCACGAAACGCTGCACTGGTGGGTGAAAATGCCAAAGTGGGTTTCTGGGACGCATGTGAGCGGTCCCACTAAGGGCTTCGGTGGAGCTCCCAATCGGGGCCACGAAGCGCTGCACTGGGTGAGTGAAAATGTCAAATTGCGTATGTGGGACACATGCGGGCGGTCCCCCTGGGGGCTTCGGTGGAGCTCCCTATGGGGCCACGAAACGCTGTACTGGGTGGGTGAAAATGCCAAATTGCGCGTGCGGGACGCATGCGGGCGTTCCCAGTGGCCACGAAACGTTGTACTGGGTGTGACGGACGCATGTGGCCACCCCACTGGGGCCTTATGCGGAGTTCCCTGTGGGGCCACGAAACGCCGCACTGGGTGTGGCGGGCGCATGTGTACCCCACTGGGGCCTTCGGTGGAGCTCCCTGTGGGGTCACGAAACGCCGCGCTGGGTGTGGCGGGCGCATGTGGTACCCCCTGCTGGGGTTTTTACGTGGAGCCCCATATGGGCCCACGACATGCCGCACTGGGTGTGGCAGGCGCATGTGGTACCCCCCACTGGGGCCTTACGTGGAGCTCCGTATGCGGCCACGAAACGCTGTACTGGGTGTGGCAGACGCATGTGGTACCCCCCCGGAGCCTTCGGTGGAGTTCCTTGTGGGGCCACGAAGCGTTGTATTGGGTGTGGCAGGCGCATGTGGTACCCCCCCTGGGGTCTTTGGTGGAGCTTTCTCTAGGGCCACGCAGCGTTATATTGGGTGTGGCATACGCACGTGGTACCCCCACTGGGGGGGGGCACGAGAGGGTGAGAAGAAACGCGTGGACCGTTTCTTTAGAACGAGGACCCAGCACCACATGATGGCTGGGGGAAAAACATCCTGCCGAAGGACCCAACCATATGCAGTTTTGAATGACACGTTGTGGGTGCCGCTGTCGGTGGAGCTCCCTAAGGGGCCACGAAACGCGTGAGGGACGTGCCGTAATGGGTGATGGCCGACGCATGCGGGCGGTGCCATTGGGGCCTTCGGTGGGGCTCCCTACTATGGGCCACGAAACGCTGCACTGTGTATGGCGGACGCATGCGGGCGGTGCCCCTCGCTGGAGCTCCCGATGAGGCCACGAAACGCTGTATTGGTTGGAGGGAGACGCATGCCGCATGCGAGCGGTGCCGCTGCGGTCTTTTTGTGGAGCTCCGTACGGGGCCACGAAACGCTGTATTGGGTGATGGCCGACGCATGCGGGCGGTCCCACTGAGTGTTTCGGTGGAGCTCCCTATGGGGCCACGAAACGTTGTACTGGGAGGGGGGAGCGCATGCCAGCGGTGCCACTGGGGCCGTCGGTGGAGCTCCCCATGGGCCCACGAAACGCTGCAATGGGTGGTGGCTGACGCATGCGGGCGGTGCCACTGGGGCCTTACGTGGAGTTTGCTGCGGGGCCACGAAGCG